CCCCAAAACCCCAAAACCCCAAAACCCCAAAACCCCAAATCTTCAAAATTTACTTGAAAGCTTTAAATTTACAATCGATGGGCCGTGCAGCCTATGACTGCTTTGTAAACCCAGGTAGATTAACTGAATGGAGAAGTAATAGGGGCTGGTAGTATACTTGTCGTGAAAACAGTGCATACCAATTTCCTTTTGGAACACATAAGGCTCACATTTGTTGACAGGGTGGCTAGCAATCGATCTTGATGAAGTAATCTCTCCAGTTCCTTCATGAACAGGTTTCAACAAGCCATCTGGTTCCTTTGAATTCTGTATTGAGTTTGTCGATATACTTCTGCTAAAGCCCTCAGTTAGATCTTGAAGAGCTGGCTGGATTGAACCATGATTGTGGGCACCTGTATCACATTTATTATGATATTACTCTCAGAATAGCCTCTTTGATATATAAATTCAGATTCTTGGTCTTCAGAATCTTGGAGCTGTAATTACTGGTAGAGGAAAATTTTCCAAATTTACCATTGTCTATAAATGAGACCCAAATTTTCTTACTCAAAAGTGTATTCTCTGAGATTTGGTTCTCTTAAATTTTGACTCACTTTATCTCTTCTTGTAGCTGAGAATCCTTTGTTTTTATCAACTCTTTAGGGCTAATGTTATCAACTACAGACATTTGGCCAAGGTCATCATGCATTTCTGGTGCTTCATTTTGCTCTCTCATTTTAACACCCTTTCCAAAACTCATCGAAGATCAGAGTGAATCTTGATTAGGTGAACACTTTTCTTGATCCTATTCCAATTGGGCTCCAAAACGCTCATATCTTTGCTTGGCTTGCCCCATATCTTTCTTGATGCTCTTCAAAGCTTCTGTTAAATACTGGGCTCCTCCTCTAGACTCTATGTCAAAAACCAGTCTGAGCTTCCGAATGCTCACGTCCTTCAAAGGTCCCATTCTCAGAATCGGAGCTCACTAAAGCATATGACAATAACCCCATAAGACACTAATCCCCTTCCCAAAAAACCCGACTAATACCCCTATCCTGCCTTCAATCCATTAATCCCACCTCGGGGTTTTGGGGTTTTGGGGTTTTGGGG